CTGAAAATTCTTGTCAAGTTCTGGGAAGTCTCTGTTTATATTCCTTTGAGGACTTCCCCCTCCTCTTTTTGTTCTGCTCTATTATTTTAGAATTCTCTTCAAATATTGGAATTTTGGAGGCTGGTTCCCTTTCTTTCCTTCTCCTTCTTCTCTTATACTGGAATTTAAACTCAGGGCTCTGTTTTCTTGTAAGGAAGATGCTCTACCACTTGAGCATATTGTCCAGTCCAAGTTCCCTGGTTTTCTTGAAAAGTTTCCAATTCTTTTGTTGGTGAGAATTTTACTTTGTGCTCTTGTATTTTTTTTATTTCCAAAGGGCTCTGTTTTATCTCTGCATGTTTAAAGTATTCTATCTTCTTTCATGTATACAGCATTTTCTCTTTACCTGACAAAGGTTTTAAAAGTGTTCTTTTTCACTTTCTCTGTTTTGTTGCTTGTTTGTTTGCTTTCTGTCATTCATTTTACAGGCGTTCTTCCAGTCCATCAACCCTTGAGTCTTCTGCTCCTGTTTAAGGAGTGGGCATTGCTGGAACATGGCTCAAGTGCTTGCCCTGGGTTCACACGTTAAATAAAGAACTTTTCTTTCTCCTTCCTTACTTCCTTTATCGTGGTACTGGGTTTGAATTCAGGGCATCACACTTGCTTGGCAGGTGCTCTCCCACTTGAACTACTCCTCAGCGCTTTTCTTGTTGGCTATTTTTGAGGTAGGGTCTCACCAACAGTCTCCTATTTGCTGCTTCCCTTGAATAACTGGGATGAGAGGTGGGCACCATCACACCCAGCCATTGGTTGAGATTAGATCTCAAAGACTTTTCCAGGGCTAGCCTTGAACCCAAGATCTCCAGATTTCTGTACCTCCCCTCAGACCACAGTAGTTAGGATTACAGATTTGAGCCACTATGCTAGGCCAATAAATTAATTTTTTTAAAAGATGGAGGTAAAAAGCCTCCTTGTGCTGCTGGAGGTGTGGTTGGGCCTTGTCAACTGCGTATTTTATGTCAGGGTTATCTGTTGGCCGGTTTCTAAGGGGAATGTCACACCCCATGGATCTTTCCTCTTAGGCCAAACAGATTTTCCACTGAGATTCTGTGATATCTTTTCTAGAGGATAAAGTCCTGGTAGCTTGTCTTCTGGAAGAAAATATATGGATGGAGGCTTCCGCATTCCCAAGTACACTGCCTTCTTGCTGTTTGCTTCCCCCCACCCTTTATTTTGGGGCAGTAATGTGATTTGAACTCAGGGCCTTCCGTTTCCTAGGCGGTGCTCTACCAAACATTTGAGCCACTTCACCAACCCTGTTTTGTGTTGGATATTTTTGTTTTGTTTGTTTAGCAATGGGACTTGAATTCAGGGTTCACACTTACTAGGCAGGCACAATATTCACTTAAGCCACTCTGCAAAGTATGTATTTTCAAGATAGAGTCTCCCAAACTATTTGCCTTGGGGCTGGCCTTGATTCTCCTGATCTCTGCTTCCTGAGAAGCTAGGATAACAGGTGTCAGCCACCAGCGCCTGGCTTGAGGCTTCTTAAGTATGGTTCAGATGCGTTCTTACACCCAGAAGGCCAGTATGGTTCCCAGTACTTTGGGTAACTGTAGTGTACCACTGGCACACTGGCCTCCCCACTCCAACATGTTGGGTTGTTCCTCTTTTGAGCTCATCTTTGTGGGTTTAAGTCTTTTCAAAATTATCTTTAATGATTTTCAAAAACATTCCCTAGCTGGGCACCAGTGACACAGGCCTGTAGTGCCTAGTACGAGGAGGCAGAGATCAGAGGATCTCCGTTTTAGCCAGCCCAGGCAAAATAGTTTGAGAGACCGTATCTTGAAAACCTCCACAAAAATAGGGCTGGTGGATGGCCAAGATATAGGCACTGAGTTCAAAACCCAGTACTACAAAAATAAAATAAATATAAATAAATAAATAAAACAAAAACAAAACAATTCCTTTAAGCCATATAATCCCAGCTCTTGGGCAGCTGAGGCTGGAGGGGTTTAACTTCAGGGGTTTGAGACCAGCCTGCGCAGCACAGCAAGACCCTGTCTCCAAATAAACAGAGGGCTGGTGGAGTGGCTTAAGTGGTAGAGTGCCATGCCTAGCAAGTGTGAAGCTCTGATTCAAACCTCAGTACCAGAAACAAACAAATAATCCTTTTATTGAAAATTAGAATTTTAGGAGGGAGACAAATTAGAATGTGTCTATTCATCTTCAATTCTTTTACTGTAAGCCTTTATTATTGCTGTTATTTTTGAATTAATAGCTACAAATTTCTTTCCCTTCCTTCCTGTCTTTATTTATTTATTTATTATTTTTGCTAGGCAGGGATCTTAAAAAGCCCATGCCGGCCTCAAACGCCAGACCTCCTGCCTCAGCTTCTCAAGAGCTCGAATCACAGGTTTTGCCACAAGAAGGATTTTTTTTTTTTTTTTACAAATTTCTAAAGGTATAAAACAGAAGATAATGATAACTACGTCTCTTTCCCTTTCTTGTTCTGTCATTTCCATTAACAGTTTCTTACTTGAAAAGAACCTTTTGAGTGTAGGTACATGTACTTAATCAAATGAACCGTTAACTTTCACAGCTTAGGAAATATTTATTCAACAAAGACTGGCCCCTGTCTGGTAGGGGCTCCTGCTCAGGGCTGCAGGATGTGTTGCCAAGTAGCAAGGGCAGTTGTTTCTCTTCGATCTAAGAGAAATTCTGCTTTGTCTTTCTTTTCTTCCTTTTTTTTTTTTTTGTGGTACTGGGGTTTGAACTCAGGGCTTACACCTTGAGTCATTCTACTAGCCCTTATTTGTGATGGTTTTTTCGAGATAGGGTCTCATGAACCATTTGCCTAGGCTGGCAGGAACTCGATCCTCCTTATCTCTGTCTCCTGAGTAGTTAGGATTACAGGCATGAGCCACTAGTGCCTCTCATAAGAGAACTGCGTGTTATTGTGAGGTGGTCCTCTCAGAAGTACTAGTACTCTATCCATTTTTCCTTTTTTTTTTTGGCGGGGCGGGGGGCAGTACCAGGGTTTTGAATTCAGGGCCTCTCACTTACTAGGCAAGCCCTCTGCCACTTAAGCGATGCCTCCAGCAGCTCCCCCTCCCCGCCCTGCCCTTTTAATCACATTAATTATTTTTCAGATAGGATCTTATGCTTTTTGCCTGGGCTGACCTTAGATCACTATCCTCCTACTCCAGAGTAGCTAGGATTACAGGCATGTACCACCACCCCAGTGTACTCTTTGAGAGATGCTCTTGCTTACTTTTTTGTCCTGGCTGGTCTTGAACCTCTACCTTTTGAGTAGCTAGGATTATAACCCTGTGCCACTGTGCCTGGATCTCCATTTTTCAAAGGAGCAAAATGAGAGAGAAGAGAAAAACCAGAGAGGAACTGAGACTCCAAAGCAGGTTTTAGAAGTCAGCATTGTGCAAGGCACATCAGCTGAGAGGTAGGTCTTGATGGTCTAGTTTCTCAATGTGTTTCTTGATAGGTCTGGTTTTCAATCGACCAAGGAGTTTTCTTAAAGATCAAGACTTCAGGGCCCACCCACACCTACTGAATAGGAAACTCAGGTCAGAATGAAGCATTTGTACTTTTTAGAAGTGTTCCTAGTGCACATTACATGTTTATTTATGCACACCAAGAGTTTTACGGGTGGGGGACGGGGAGCTAGGGATCAACTGAGGGTCTTATGTATCCCCCCCCAAGCCCACAGTAAATCTAAGCACAGGTGTGCAGAAAAGACGCTCTGGGCAAACAGATGTAGGGAGCCTTCACAAAGAAGTATCAGTTTGTCTGTGAGCTGAGTGGGATTTGGACACATGGATAGTGTGGAAGGGGGAGCCATTATCAGGCTTGTCTAATGGAAGACTGAAGCACGGGCCTCTTCACCGTCACCCCTCACCATCCTTTCCACCTCTTCGATCTCATCCCCTAACCTCCACAGCCTTTTCATGGGCTGAGCTCAGTTAAATAGAGTTTTCTGCTCTCTGGAGCAGGGGGGGTTGGTGCCCATCGAGAGAGATGGATTAGTACAGAAGGGGAGGCACAGCCAGGGCTGGTAAGAAGCCAGGAAGGAGCAAAGATGGAAAACAAGACACAGGTGGACAGGGGAGCCACAGGCAGACATAAACTTGGGTGGTATGAAGGGGCACGCAAAGCATAAGAAACAGCACGCACAGAGGCCACCTGGGACGGGCAGGTGAGAGGGGCACAGGCGATTCCTCAGAACTGTGAAAGGTCCTCATCCACAGCCCACCTCTTTTCTGAGCTCAGGAGAGGGGAGGAACTCCGAGTGCCCAGCCTGGCTTGCAGTGCGCCCTGCCCATCTTTCTGTCTCACTGATGTCCATCCAGGCCTCAGGCTCCAGGGTGAGGTGTGCGGACGTGCCACCCTGCTCGTGTCAAGGAGATGACCTCCTCCCTCTTGCGTCACATTTATTTCAGATGTTTATCATTAGGCCTGCAGCCTTGCTTCTTTTTGGTTTACAACTCAATTTCATACACGTCCCTCAGGACCTGGCTTTTCTTGGGGTGCTTTATTCTAATCCCGAGGCCCAGCCGACTGGGAGCTCTTCAATTCATTTACAGACCACTTTCCCTTTAAGCTGTTTTTCCCTATTCCGCCACCTTCCCAGACTCCCTGGCTCTCCCGACATCCCTTGCAGTTCCAAACCACACCACATTTTCCCATAAATCTTAGCGCAAAAGGGCAACCCTAGGAACTTCAAGTTACCAAAATGCTCTCCTATCTGTCTCGGTGACTACCGCGCTGACCGATGGGGTTGTAGTCACCTAGGAATTGTCGGTCCGTAAAAACTACTCATCCCAGGAGTACCAGCGTTAGAGGCGGGTTTCCCTCCTGTCTTTTTTTTTTTTGCGTGCCCCTTAATTCTCCATGGACTCCAATTCCCGTCGTGCCTTGCACTGAGATCCCCGCGGCTGTGAATGGGGCTGTAGCCAAAGTGTTTCCTGGGAGCTGTAGTTCCTCTGTTGGTGCGGCGAGGAGGAGGCGGAGTGACTCGGCGGCCATTAGCTGTGTGTAGTTGCCCGGGACTAGGAGCTTAAGTGAAGAGGGAAGGCTTATTCGGTGGAAATCAACCATGGCTATGGGCTCCTGCCGGGGATAGTCCTGGAGTACGGAGCAGGCGGGCTTTTCGGTGCCCCGCCCCGCCCAGTGGCGGGGCCTACTAGGCCTTCGGGCATCCCCGGTCTCAAGTAGGCCTCTTCTGCCGGCAAGGGCGCTGCAAAGGCGGGAGTCACCATGTCGCTGGTTGCTTACGCTAGCAGCGATGAGAGTGAGCCGGAGGAGGCCGAACCGGAGGAAGAGGAGGCGGCGGCCCCTACGTCTGGGCCCACTTTAGGGGGCTTGTTCGCTTCTCTCCCCGCGCCCAAGGGTCCGGCCTTGCTGCCCCCGCCCCCCCAGATGCTGGCCCCAGCCTTTCCCCCGCCGCTGTTGCTGCCCCCACCCGCAGGAGACCCCAGGCTTCAGCCCCCGCCCCCCTTGCCCTTCGGCCTGGGAGGCTTCCCCCCACCTCCAGGCGTCAGCCCGGCTGAAGCGGCGGGAGTTGGGGAGGGGATGGGCCTGGGGCTGCCGTCGCCCCGGGGTCCTGGTCTCAGTCTGCCCCCCCCTATCGGCGGTGCCGGGCCCCCCCTGGGGCTTCCCAAGCCAAAGAAGAGGACGGAGCCGGTGAAGATCGCGGCGCCGGAGCTGCATAAGGGGGATGTGAGTATCCGGGGAGGGCACCCCCAAACTGTACAGCGGGTTTGAGCCCAGCTGTAGGAGGGACTTGTGGCGATTTTGGGATTCCTTGCAAACGCATCCATGGACTCGAGACCACTGGGATTCTCTTAAAGTGAGATTAATTGAACTGAAGTTTGTCGACTTTGGGGAGTTAGGGCATTTGGCCATGCGGGTTTCTCAAGCGGGGCCACATGTCCCCACCTGGCACTGACAAGCTCAAGCCCACGCCTAGGAACCCTGGTTTCCCCTTTAGCATCGTCACCTCAGGCTGGCTTTTCCCTGAGAACAAGATGAAATCTGGCACCTGAAGAAATGACAGGGGACAGGACTCCCGAGCCTTGCTGAACACCCAGTACCAACCTTTACTTCTGAACTCAGTAGCATCAACCCTGGAGGGAAAGGATGGGACTCCCGGACCCTGTTTTTAAGGGGAGGTAGGGAAGAAATCGAGTATTTATTGATTTCGGATCATTTGCCAGGCCCTGGCCCTCTCCTTCACTTCTCTCAGATACCTAGGAGATCACAGTGTGTTTTACAGATGAGAACCAGGAGTCTGGCATGTAAGATCCGACCTGGTAAAGGCAGAGGGAAGATTAAGAGCCGGGTCTACCTGAACCTCAGATCTGTGCCTCAGTTCTAGGTATTGTCAAGCTGGGTGAGTTAGGATATGCTTAGGTACTATTTTTACAGGAGGCCGTCAAACTTCTGTCAAAGGCGTCTTCCGGAGCAAGGACTTTGGGAATACAGCAAACCAGAAAGAAGCCTTTGATACATTTTAGACTAACCTGGAGTTCTTTCCTTTCTTCTCCTTTGGGAAGTTAATTAGCAAACCTTACCCACCTTTGAGAAACTTTCTTGCTTTTTTTTTTTTTTTTAGCTTTCCTTTCTGTGTCCCTGCTTTGCTGCTTCTTCAGTTTCTTCCTCCAGATTTCCTAATGGTTATCTCTTGTCTGTTATTCAAGTATTGTTCTCCATGAGGATTTCACTAGCTGCTTAAATTGCAGCCTCCTGTCACTTGCTACTTCCTGTTGCCCTTCCATATTGTTCAACCACCATCTAACATACTTTATAATCTGCTTCTTTCCTTCCTAGTATACAAACTTCATGAAGGCAGGGATGATGATGATTTTTTAAATTCATTGTTATATTCCTAGCAGTTAAAACAGTGCCTGCATATACTGAGGACTCTTAGTTTTTTCTGAATGAATGAACTCAAATTAATATGGAGTCTTCCAGCTTCAAGACTTCCTCTCTTTTTTCAGACTTACTTTCTTTTTTTGGGGGGGAGGGCACTTGAACTCAGGGCCCCTGTTTACTAGGGAAGCACTGTACCATTTGAGCCACACCCCCAGCCCTTTTAAGTTTTTTTTCTCCCCCCCAGATAGAGTCTGGCACCTTCTCCAGGGCTGAGGTCCTCCTGCCTAGTAGCTGTGATTACAGGCATGCACCATCATGCAAGACGTTTTTCCAAACTTTCTTCCATATCATTCACTCCTTCTTTCTCACCTTAGTCTCTCATTTATAGGTGTAGGATCCAAAAAAACCTCTACTGCTTGGCACTGGTGGCTTCCACCTATAATGGTAACTACTTGAGAGGCTGGGATTGAGAGGATCAAAGTTCAAGGTCAGCCTAGACAAATAGTTTGTGAAACCCCCATCAGAGCAAAATGGATTAGAGGTGTGACTAAAGCAGTACAATGCCTCTTTGCAAGAGTGAAGCCCCAGGTTCAAACCCCAGACCCACTAAAAAAAAAAAAAAAGCCCACACTAAAATGTTCCTTGAACTTTAACCTGAGACAAAAAAAGGTTTGGGAATGAGCCCAGCACCTGTGGCTCATGCCTGTAATCCTAGCTATTTGGGAGGCTTAGATGGGGAGGATCAAGGTTTGAGGCCAGTGGAACAAATAGTTTGAGACATCCCATCTCCAAAAATAACCAGAGCAAAAATGGACTGGAGGAATGGGTCAAGCAGTAGAGTGCCTGCTTTGCAAGTGTGAAGTCCTGAGTTCAAACACCAGTCCCAACAACAACAAAAAACACCCCCCTACACTTTATCTGTGATGTGTGGGGGATGAGAGAAGAAGGTGACACTTTGAGCCAGCCTGCCTCTTCCTCAGTGACAGTGGAAAGGCTCCTTTCTAGTTCTGTGAAGCAGCATTAGAAAAAGTTGCTGAGCCTATATTAAAAAAAGAAAAAAAAAAAAAGAAAAAGTTGCTGATAGCTGGGCATGGCAATTCACGTCTGTAATCCCAGCTACACAGGAGGCCCCTCAGTTTGATGTTGGCCCCTGGCAAAATTGAGAGACACTACCTGAAAAATAACTAAAGGAAAAAAAGGCTGGGGGTATGGCTCAAGCTTGCCTAGCAAGCTTGAGGCTTTGAGTTCAAATCCCAGTACCTCCTAAAAATAAAAAAGTTGTTGATTGAGCTATAGAATCTTCCATGTAGGTTGGTTGAAGTGGCAGAAAACTCAGGACTCCTAACCATCATTCCTTGGAAATATAATTCACTGCATTGCTGAGGTGAGCATGACCACTTTGCCATTTTAGATGATAGTTTTGTTCTCTGAACATGTAATTCTTTTTTTTTTGGCAGCACTAGGGTTTGTACTCAGGGCCTACACCTCGAGCCACTCCACCAGCCCTTTTTTGTGAACAGTTTTTTCAAGATATTTGCCCAGGCTGGCTTCAAACCTCAATCCTCCTGATCTCTACCTCCAGAGTAGCTAGGATTACAGGTGTGAGCCACGAGTGCCCGGCTGAACGTGTAATTCTTGGGGAAAGGTTGCCTAAGAATATTTAGGATGGTCAGGTAAGAGTAACTGTGGTCCTTCTTTTTTTGGTTGTACTATAGTTGAACTTGGCCTTGCATTTGCTAGGCAGGCGCTCTACCACTTAAGCAACATCCCCCAGCCCTTTTTGCTTTGGTTTTTTGGGATAGGGTCTTATGTTTATCCCCAGATGGGGCCTGGACTTTGATTCTACTATTTATGCTTCCCAAATAGCTGACATGACAGGCACACACTACCATGCCCAACTATTGGTTGAGATGGGGGTCTTGTGAACTTTTTGTGGGGGCTGGGATTGAACCATTATCTCTGCGCCCAGTAGTTTGGATTAGAGTTATGAACCACCATGGCTAATCCATAACAGTGGTCTTTAGAAGAGCTGTACCTCCTCCAGTTTTAAGACCCTCTGATTCTGACCCCTGTGTCTTGCACCTTAAAGTCTCCAGTACGCTTTGAAGGAATGAATGAATTAGTTTCCTTAAGTAATTTCCCCTTAGGTGCTAAAGTAGAAGTAGTGAACTCTGGACCCTCTCCTTTTTTTTTTTTTTTTTGTTTGGCGGTACAGGGGCCTACACCTTGAAGCCACTGCTGTACCAGCCCTCTTTTTTTGTTTTTTTTTTTTTTTAATTTTTATTTTAATTCTGCCCCTCGCTACCAGGCAGAAACTATTCTGCCCTTATCTCTAATTTTGTTGAAGAGAGAGTATAAGCAATAATAGGAAGGACCAAGGGATTTTGCTAGTTGAGATAAGGATAGCTGTACAGGGAGTTGACATGCATTGATTTCCTGTACATTTGTGTTACCTTCTAGGTTAATTCTTCTTGAACTAACCTTTTCTCTAGTTCCTTGTCCCCTTCTCCTGTTGGCCTCAGTTGCTTTAAAGTATCTGCTTTAGTTTCTCTGCGTTGAGGGTAACAAATGCTGTCTAGTTTTTTAGGTGTTTTACCTATCCTCATACCTCCCTTGTGTGTTCTCACTTTATCATGTGATCAAAGTCCAGTTCCCCTTGTTGTGTTTGCCCTTGATCTAATGTCCACATATGAGGGAGAACATATGATTTTTGGTCTTTTGGGCCAGGCTAACCTCACTCAGAATGATGTTCTCCAATTCCATCCATTTTCCTTCGAATGGTAACATTTTGTTCTTCATGGCTGCATAAAATTCCATTGTGTATAAATACCACATTTTCTTAATCCATTCGTCAGTGGTGGGGCATCTTGGCTCAGCCCTCTTTTTTTTGATGGGTTTTTTTGAGATAAGGTCTCACAAACTATTTGCCCATGCTGGTTTTGAACCTCGATCCTCCTGATCTATGCCTTTGGAGTAGCTAGGATTACAGGTGTGAGCTACTGGTGCCTGGCAACTCTGGACTCTTTTTTTGTTGGTACTGGGGGTTTGAACTCAGGGTCTCACGATTATTAGACAGGTGCTTGACCAGTTGAGCCACTCTTTATCACCCCATCTCTGGACTCTGATTCATTTACTCACTCATTCACTTCTTCTTACCTGGTGCTAAGAATACAATGGTGAACATGATAGACCCTGTCCACGGGGAACTTATGTTCTACTTTAGGAGACAGACAAGGAAATAGATTTTACGTCAAGTCAGAAAAGAGCCCTGATAGAGCTAGTGTCATGAGAGCACATCTAGCAGACTCTTATCCAGTCAGGGAGTTATTGAGGCATCAGTAAACGGAGATGTCTAAACACAGATAAGACAGAGGAGTAGGAGGCAGTCATAACAAGAGGGGAGAGTGCAGAGGAGCATATCATGCAGTGGAAATGGAGGGTATAGAGAGTGAAGGTATTTTTGGGAACCTTGAGTAAGGCACAGTGACTGGAGCACATGTAGGGACAGCAGCAAGAGATGGAGCTGAGAGGGAGATGACCATGGGCTTGGATGCCAAGCTGAAGTCTTCCCACTTTGTTCTGGGCTAGTGAAGATTCCTGAAGCCTGAACCCGAATTCTCTTACTGAAGAGGTGCTGATGATTTGTAGGAGGAATAGTAGGGATGAAGAGAACTGGGGATATTTAGGAGGTAGTTGTGACAAGACTAGAGGATCAATGAGGTGTCACCAGTGAAGGATTGGCCCCTCTGCCTTTGACCCAGGCAGCTGGCAATGCAGTGGTGCCAGGAGGCAGAACAGATCAGGATTTGGTTAGAGTTGGTTGGTTGCAAATACTGAAGACAACCTTATGCTGCCTCCATGAAAGTGTCACGAATACAGTGTAGTACCTCACAGAGGGCGTGGGGTCAGGAACTACATACCTGTTGGGGACCCTTACGCAGTTCATTTTTCTGGAGACCAGTTTCTTCTGCTTCTTAATCTTTTTGTTGTTGTTTTGTTTTTGAGACTGGGTTTCTCTGTGTAGCCCAGGCTGGCCTTGAACTCACAGTCCTCCTGCTTCAGCCTCCCAGTTGAGATTACAGGTGTAATCTCCACACCTGGCCTTACTTATCTTTTGTTGCAGGTAAAAGCAACCTACACCTTCTTGTTTTTTATTTCCTTTTCTTTAAAGATCATCCCAGATTGAACCATAATCTAGTCCCCATTCTGGTCTTATAGCAGAGAGAATTTGATTAATTTGATTTGGGTCAGGTTTTCCAATTATTTGCAGTCAAGGTAATACCAGATTCTTCCTCCAGAAGTATTCCAAAATTAACTTAAGTCAGTTTTTTGAGACAGGGCCTTACAATGTAGTCCAGAGTGGCCTTGAACTCATGATCCTGCTACCTCAGCCTCCTGGCGGCTGGTATTACAATGTGTAGCACCATGTGTGGTTTAGTCTGCTTTTGATTTAAGTGGGAATTAGGAAAGAGAAGAGATGATCATCCCCCTCTTCCCTTCTTGCTTTGACTCAAGCTACATTGGCTGATTTCATAGGTCCAGAGGTTGCAGACTTTTGAAATAGGGATGCAAAAAACAAAAACAAAAACAA